TTATTAATATTTTTCTTACTAGAATTTTATACAGGTGTAATCTAATTATATAAATACAATTTTTAATTAATATTTATGTATTTTAAAATCATCAATAATAATTAAAACTCGTTATAAGTTTATGTAGGTAGAAATAATTTATAATAAAATATCGCTTGGACATATAGGACATGTTGTATAACAATGAACATGTTATAATCACAATTTACAATTTAAAACATATTTATATTGAACGGAAATTAATAATGAGGCCTGTTCAACATTTAAATTTCCAACGAAATATAAAAATAATATTATTTTTTACACTTATAACGATGTAATAAATTATAAAATCATACTGATGATTATTTTTCCACATATTTTTTTTTATGCTTTTTGAATTAATTACGATTCTTTTAAATGAAACGATTACTTCAACCAACAATATAAATATTTATAATCAATATAAGACAGTTATAAAGTGAAAACATTTTTAAAATGTTTTTTTTCTTAATTGATGTGAATAAATCTAAGCATGTCACATAGTCGTTATCCTTTTATGAGTATGTTATAGGTATGTTTTAAAAATGTATAATAATATTATAAGTATATAGCACTTATCCTTAATCAACATTTTTAATATTACAAACCTAAACACTTATTCGTGACAGTAAATAGGTAGCAATTCTAGCTTATAATTTGTTTTGTTTTTCAACTTTAGTTTTTAACTGTCAATAATGAGTTAGCTGCCTACCTATTTCCTTTTTGCACGAAATACCACAAAAATCGAATGTTAGTTGGAATGTAATAACTATTATCTATGCATATATTATTATCATTGATATTATAAATACAATGATATTATATTATAGACTATATTATAAGAGACTGGTGAAAAATACAAAACTATATTCATGAACATTTGCATAAATTATTATTACAAACCGTTTGCATCTTTTAACATTTAAATTTTAGACAGTTTATTGTAATGTAAAAAGACTACGTATCATTGAGAATACTTCCAACCTATATAACGGCGTGTTTCTATGTCGATAACACGCCAGCTGTATACGAGGTATGTACCTGTAATACCTATATTATATACCAGTATATAATATATTGAACGCAAACCAATATAATTACCTAATGATATTATTCCATGGTCCAATTAACGGTAAACCATTTTTTTTTCATTATTCATAATGAAATACCATTATGTTTCCCACACTGGCCACACACTTCAAACGAATACCCGATGATTAGAACGCCAATTAAACAAAATATTGAGTATTATACACATAATATAAGTATGCTTACACCCGTATAACGAGCTGATTTATATGTATAAAAAAACATACCTACTTTCTGTAACACAATTATAAATTTAAATAATCATTATAGCCGTTTAGGATCTTATTATATATTATAATGTGTATATAAATTGTGTAATAATTTAATATTATATTACATACTTATCGTAATTTCCAATCGTATAGTTTTTCATAACCATATGTCTATTGAAAAATTATATAGGTACTTATCTATATTTAATGTGTACATTAATCAACACTGCAGACCGGATATTAACCGCAATACATCAACAAAGTTTGAAAATCGAAAAAAAATTGTTTTATTAAAATGGCTTCTTTGACCTTTAACCTAACGATAGAATTATCGGCAACGTGAACCCCTGCACTTGCATACAATGAAATCGATCTAACAGAGTACCGAGGCAATCCCTTATTCTTGTCCCTGAATGTTGCATAGAATAAAACATTATCCAACTACCCTTTTAAATGCTATTACTTCAATAAAAACTCATCGTGTCTATAACGTTCATATATAAACTTTTATTTAAGTTTTTTTTTTCAAGTAAATAATGATAAAATATTTAAGTTTGTTGGATAAATCGTTTTTATCCGGGATCTGTTAAAATATTTGAAGCAGTTGCAAATAAATTGCGTAAAACCGTAGGTACCTACTATGGTATTTATTACAAAATTCATAATATTTACTGAAAATTCTTTGAACATAAAATATGTTCTTCTTCGTTTCTTGAAACTATTTGTGCGTATGACCTTTATTATAATTACTATTAAAATTGTTAGTGTTCAAAGGAATTTCGCTGAGGTACATTTTTAGTATAAGCAAGAAAAAAACATTTAACGTTATAGCTTATTTTAAATGTTATTATAGTAATAATTACTACTGTTATATAAGCACATGTATAATACATAAATAAAACAATTTGTTACTTACAAAAGCATAAAATGAGCCAATTTTAGTTTGTCAAAAATGTTAGTATATGTTAATAAGCATTTTTATTGTTATTATAGCGTTTTACTTAATAGACGGTAGTGTTAATTCATATTAATGCCAAATTTTAGGTCTGTAAAAAAAGTTAGTTTTACTTGAAACGCCAGAAAGGCGTTTTTAATTCCATTAACAAATTAGTTTGGTATAAAAAAATAAACCCTTATATTAATATTTGTATGAATGAAACTATTTAATTTTAATAACTACCTATATCGTGTGTAATTTAAATTATAAGTGGTTTTTAATGTTAAGATTTGACTACAAATACTCAGGGATAAATTTAAAAAAAATACATTTGAACGACAAGGGAGAGGGAGTGCATAGGTATGAAATATGCATCGAAAGAATATCATATAATCTAAATATCACGGCCACTGTAACCGCTAACCACATAATATTATTTTAATATATACACAATATTACGAGTTGCATTTCATTCCGAAAAACACGCGATTTTCGCTTTGTACTACGACGAATTTATGACGTAGGTAGGTATACAATATTACTGTACATCATAATATACATAAATGTATGATAATATACGCAATATAATAATAATAATAATATTCGCTGTCCGCGATCGCGGTGGTATCAAATATGATATCATTAAACACGCGATAGTCATTATATACCTACCTATACAATTTACAATGTGTACAAACCTATTATGATCTGCAATCGTTATAATAGCCCTATAGAGACGAAATCGACTGTATGTACAGCGATACACAGTCGGTTAACCGCTTTTTCTTTGCCGCATAGGTAAAATAATGGTCGTCCGCGGTTTATGGTCCGGCGATCAGTCGCGTTGCAAATGACACAGCCTGCATTTATACCAAAGCGCACGCCACCGATATACATTTGTATTGTGGTACATAATTTAAACAATATATCTATCTACGCCTACACCGCATTATGCCTATAACAGTGGGTACTATAGGTACCTATGCCTATGCGGACTTCCTGAAAATATGAATTCGTTGCGTCATTAAAAACGTATTTATCTCGCATCATATAGCCGTCGACGTGCGCGTGTTACAACAACAATAGGTATACTAAATTTGTTATGATAATAAAAAAAATATACATTATAACGTATAGCTATATATAAGCTGAAATGTCGACCTATAAAAAACAATAAAACGCCGCGTGTTTTTCCCCCATAATTCCATATAATATCATTTCGACCTCTGTTATAGAGGATGAGGCGGCTTATGGAGTCAGCACTGCGTGGACGTGCCACACACATATTAAATCGGAATATGCCCGCGAAATGCGTTGTCATCTGAGCATAATATAGATAGAGGGTGGACATTTCTCCCTATTTGGCATTTTATTGGACATGAAGGTGGTTATAACCAAAAATAGGTTAAAAAGGATTTATTCGACGATCTGGTCGAAATTACCAAATAAAATAGCTCCCCCCCTCCTCTCGTTGTACACCCTCTTCGGAACGTATAACTCCACATGTTTCGGGGCTCGTAGTGTCTTTTATTATAATAATATACGTATCGTCGTACCTACGTGGTGGTGGTTTTACAAACAAAAATAATCTCATCAAAACGTTCTGGATGATATCGCTCACCTCGAAAATAAATTAAACGTAGAGCTTGTGAACGCAACGTTACGCAACCCAGAGAGACCAAATTATACTCAGACATGCAATCATAACAAGCCGGCAGCGGTATAATATAGACCGATTTCCTGGATAGGTATTTTTTACAAAACGTTATACGCATATTGCATTATAACATAGTCTTAATCAGAAAAAAAAAATGGGAATCCGACCGGGGGTATGTCACACTATATGGTATGGTGTAATATACGTGAAAAACGATTAAACCACTGTCATAAAACTATACAGTAAATATGCATAGATTTTATTATACGGTATACCTACCGATGTATAATGAAGGGTTTTGACTTTTAAAGGCACTTACTCCTGGCACGAGTTTTTTAGACACACACATAAGTGTTTAAATAAATATACTTGGGTTTTGATTATCAAATACATTATTCAATATGTGCAGCGGAATTGTAAATACTATAATTTACATATGGTAATAATATAACATGTATATCATAACCTACATAGGTAGGTACTGTTTGTTGAGTTAAAAATATATTTTATTTTTTTAAGTAAATAATACGAAAATCAAATGCACCTAATTAGCAGCTATTTGAGTTGGAATTGTCATAATATTATAACGAATGCATAGCGGATATAATATATTTAGTAATATTTTGCTTTTAAAATCATAAATCATCAATCTTATAATATAATATTTTACGATGTTTTAGATCTGTGGTTGAGCGCATGTACCCTGGCCGCCAATCACGTTCTTATAATGCGTGGGTGCAGTCCCGATATCCAAGAACTCGGGTCACGTATATCGCCTACCCTCCCAGCCGAAAAATACAAACCCAAACCCAAACCGAGTAAAAAAGAAATATCTTGAATTCCCAACAGACGCGCGAACGAACGATATAACATACTCGTAATAAGTCACAGGGACGATCGCGGTAAGCCGTCTCAGGGACGAATCGTCGTACCAGATGGTACCCAGAAGTCTGCGTACCGGGGGAGGGGGCGTGAGGTGGTACCTATATCCACTCGCAACATTACAAAATATATCGTATAGGTAGTCGGTACAGACTGGTAACTGCCTTAATAACACGAAGTTAAGGTGCAGGACTCCACTTACCCAGGGTGATGGGCAGCTCCCGCCATCTAGTCTTTTTGCCCTTCTTGCCCATTACCTCCGGAGACGGTTACGGCACGCGTGGACGACCGGCACAGTATCGCTCCTCTGCCCGCGGTAGGTTGATCGCTTCCCTGGCAGTGGCGTGTCCTCGAACCGAGTTTCCCAGCACGCACACTAAACTGCAGGTACTTCCTGCAGTATTACACGTATGGTGTTCTTCGTTACTCGAGTGTAGCTCGGTATGATATCCGATCGGGCGTAGCCGTTGGTCGGCAGCAGCCACAGCACGGTACGCTCGCAGTGAGACGTAATAATTGTTGTGGTTGTGAGTACTGTAGTTGTTGTTGTTGTTATTATTATTTATATTATACGTCTGTTCGGTTGCGGACGGGACGGGCGGCGCGACGCACACGGACGGAACCGCGGTAGAGACGACGCACAGCTGTATCGGTGACGGTAGCGGTTGCGGCGGCGGCGACGTCGGCGGCGGCGGTGATGCGCGAGCGAGTGAGAGAGGCAGAGACGGTGTGCGCGCGCGACGACCGGTGCGACTGGCAATCGAGCGGCTCCGAACGGAGAATCGGACGCGATTATCAACGGGAGGAACGCCACTGCTGCCACTGCCGCCGCAGTCGCTGCCATCGTCGTCGACGCCGCCACCGCCGTCGCCGCCGGTCTCGGTAGTCGACATAGGCGCGGCGGAGGGGGCGCTCCGGCGGGGGCGGGCGACACGCCGCACGGCGCAAACTCGTTGCGTGCGGGTCGTCGTCGCGGACAGCCCCGCCGAATAATAATGGTTTTTGTTTCCTTCTTTCGGAGGCGACCCGCCGCCGAAACGATCTACGCTCGAGACCATAGTATATTCCTCGTTTCACCACCATGGCACCACTCCACGACTAACCTCCCCAACCCACGCTAAAACCGTCATCCCCAACCGGCTCCACCACACGACGATTAACGTTTTATGTACAAGAAAGTAATTTGACTCGCGTGTTGTTATTGCTGCTGCTGCTGCTGTTGTTGTTGTTGTTGGTGTTTTTGCTGTTGTTGTTGTCGTCTTTATCGTATATACTATTATATTTATTGTATGTACTATATGCATATTATTAGCCTCCCACTTCTCCTGAGCTTGACGGATATCATTAAAGCTTTCTGGTTTTTCCGTGGGTTGGATACCCTTTATACAGACCGAAGACATTTTCCAGACAATACTCAATATGTCAAAATCGGGTCATATCGCTCTCAATGGGATTATATAGGTGTAACTTTTGACTTAGTACCTATAAAAAAACCACGTTGTACAGAATGATTCACCAAGTATGCCCACCACCATTTTTCTTTTCATAATACAATTATCTAAATTTTTAAATTTTTAAATATACCTACTCGAAGATCATATTTTCAAATTCTTGATATTTTTTTGTATTACTTAAAGAGTGTCCTGTGGAGATAAAAATTTATGTTTTCATATGATAATCACCTATTTTTAATTAAAATGAATTAGTGGATAATTGTATTACAAAGTTAATCTCAAGACGACTAAGTTGAATTTTGATTTTGAAACATCATAATTTTCAGAAATATTATTCGTAAATTTACAGTAGAACAGCGGGGCGTTCATTTGAAAAAAATAAGTTTGTTTATCCACAGGATGATCCTTTCAATAATAAAAAAAAAATCTCAAGAGTTATAAAACACAGTATATAACCTAACCTAACTATACTATAATATGAAGTAATATGTATATATTTAAAAATCCCACAAACCTCATTTTGTCATTTTGAACACTGCATTATTACAAAAAAAAAAAACAGGGAATGGTCATGTTGGGTTAATCTTCCTGTATATATTATGTTTATGAATATTATTGTAATATAGTGAGTGGTAAACGGTGGTAATATTAATGGGAAAAACATTACACTAGAAACCGGTCAGTAGGGGATGGGTGGATTATTGAATATTTGCTGATAAAATGATACGTCATTATCATGTCATCATTGCTCGCCATGTATAATTTTAATTTTCAATAACGCGTAACTAGTGATAATCGTTGTTGAAATTCATTCGTTTAACAATAATTACTATATTATCACAAATTTCCTCGAATCGGTGCCTGGTGGGATGATGGGTGGCTTATGGTTGTCCATGTTTTTTCCACCAGGTCTTATTATCGTACACAGGCACTTTAAACCACCCCTGAGTTTGTATTACAATATGTAAAATACAAATAACATACGTTTACATGTCGACATATTTTACTTTATGGGGTATATAATTGCTACCGATTTTCAGTGATGGGGCCCGGAAGGTTAAGAGAGGATAGAGACATGAGATAAATTTCGGCTCAAAAAAAAATGCAAAGAAAATACATTTTTCCGGCGTTTCTTATTAGTATTAGGTATAAGTTAACACAGGTGATCATAAATCATGAATAATGATTATTATTATTATAATATTGCACATCGTGGAAACGGTTTCAAACACGTGAATTCGATTCATTTGAAGTATACCTACGGTTTTTTTTTTGTTTGGTAAATTACATTCCAATAAAGGACCACGGGATCGATACAATATAAATCCCGAAATATTTTTGATACGATGTATTGTGATTATTTGTTTAATGATACCACTTATCGTCGGAGAACCTCTATAATATAGTGTTGTACAATGTACAGTTTATTTTATTAGTTCCTAAATTTGAGTAATGAGATAATATTATTTTCTTCAATAACGATATCTAATTTAACGTTCCATATTACTTAAATTGTAATAATAATATAATATAATTATAATGACATCTGTAAAGTACCGACGTCATTGATGATCCATTTACAAAATTTTTTTAAGAATTTATATTTTACTATTATTCATCGTTAATGTTTTTAATTTTTTTTTACTTTTTCGTGACAATATGCATTTTTAATTTTTCATTCCAAAGCAGAATATTTTTTATTGTACCTACTTCAATACATAAAAATCTATGGATTGAATCAATGAATTTTGGACTAGTTCATAAGTTAGGTATTAGTTTTAAAGTTTAGACAAGCTATGTGGAGTGGTAAAGTCGAATAGAATTACTTGGGAGTTGGGAGTTGGGACTAGGATACTCCGCAAAATGTTAGTGCACTATTCCGTTTGTGTAAACTGTAAACACTTATAAGTTATAACTTATAAGCTACTTGCAATAAATTCAATTTTTATAGATCAAAATTCTTCAAATAATATTCTGCTTAGGATATGAATTTAAAAATGTAATTACTATGAGTTATTATTCAAAAGAGTAAAAATTTGCAAGTTTATAGCGAAAATAAATAATACCTATAAGTATTATAACATATGTTGTTTTCCGAAATTACGAGTGTCTAAGTCAAACGGACCACCTTGTATACGACATTATACAACTCTTATCTTGAAGATATCATTGTTCCGGTATTGAATAGAGAAATGTATTAAGGTTTTCTTTAATAATATTTTAACTGTTAACTCAACGCACGTTGTGCATTTCTTATTACGTCTATACAATTCTATACATAATAATATATAAATTATAATATGCTGTGAAAACTACGAGCTCGTATATATTATATTACATTCCGCGACATTTCAAAGTGTTTTTTAACGCGTTTGCTTGATTTGCATCGGTATATAGGTACCTACATGTAGTTATTCACAAAATGTTAGTTTTCAAGGATATTTACCGCTTTTCCCGCACTAGGCGCTAGCTCAATATAATATAATATTATTGCACCACATGACGCGTCGCCGTGAAATGCGTAGGAGCTGCTCAGCGTTCACTTTTGTTTCATACATAATATAACGGATGATAAAATCACTATGTGAAACACCAATTTCTTTTTTGGGTTTAAATAATAAAATGTTAAAACATTTTTTTTCTTGTTAAGCTTTCAACCCGTTTTTTTACTTTTTGTGCCAGAATAATATCGAATTTATTTTTTGTCCACGCTTATTATTGTTGTCATCTATTACGACTTGACGACTATAGAACTCAGTGGCGTAGCCAAGGGGGTGGTTTGGGTGTTTAACCCACTCCCCCTCAAATTACATATACAACAAATGTATTATTTATAACTATAAAAACTTGGTTTAAATAATAGATTCTTAAGATTCGATTATTTGGGGATACTACTTTTATGGATAAATGTGTTGTTTTTAATTAGACGCACCTATTGTATTCCTATAATTTTGTAAAAACGTAACACAAATTAATTCCACCTGCACCTGACAGCGACCAGTGTCCTTCAACCACTAGCGACAACTGATACACACTAGGACACACCATAATGTTATATAAGTATATAACCATAGGTACCTCCAATATAAATTAAATGTTACAATTCGCAAACGGTCCGGCAAATCCGCAGCCAAAAAGTCGACATCGACCCGTAGTTCTAAAGAGTTTTCCGCCATCTTTATTTTAATATCCCCCATGTATTTCCATATTATCTGATCGTCAATTTATAAATGTTCACTTTGGAAGAGTGACATTTTTACATTAAAATGGAACTATAAAAACACACATCCGACAAATTACACATAATATATATCATATCTTTATTTGTTTGTTTTCTTAAGTGATGAGACGGCTACAACTGTGAAAGTGTTACTTTATACAAAAACTATTGGTTATGTGTCACCTTTTATTAGATTTTTCAAGCCAAAAGTGATGCGTATGTCACTAGTGTATATATTGTATACTGTATAGTAAATATAGAAATAATGTACGACAATACTACTATATGTAAAATTATCTCTTAGCATAAAGCCGATTTTCATTATAAATTATATGAAAAGTATGCTATCCAAATATTGGGTTGACTGAAGTGCTATTCTGGATCTGGAATATAATATACATCAGAAAAATATTTTACAATAGTTTTATATTATTAATAAGTATTAGAGAATAATATACAATTGCCTTAAATGAATTACATATCAATTTATTGTACATTCATACATAACTACAGCATAATAATAATAATATATACTATGTACATAAGTACATTGTACATTGTACATTATGTATTTAATATT